ATTTTTAAAATTAGTTGGCTGAATTCTTTTAGTGTAGAAGATATTCTTTGTTTCTTCTAGTCCTAAGCAATGTAGAATGAAATCCACATACCATTTTAGAAGTGAATAATTAGGGATTTTGAAATGTTAGTAGCATACATAGAAACCAAGAGGTGCTGATGACAAAAAAATATCACTTGTTCTTAAATACTGAGATTACTTCTGTGTATTTTAACTGCAGCAGAACCAGTTCACATGTCCATTCAGGAGTCGGGATCAGTGCCACATAAGGTATGTGCTTGTGTATATGTATGCATGTAAATAAATGTAACCTCTGTGAGTATTTACCTTAGTTTTCTTTGTGTTTCATTTTGAGATTTCCTTGAGTTGTGTGCAGACAGAACAATGGGTACATCCTCAGCCATAAACAGATTCTGTGAATTATTTTTGCAGAATATATTTTAAATATAAAATATTTGCATCTACTCTGCAAGCAGCAGTGTGCAAAATACATGTATATATGATATGCACACAGAACTTGTACATTTATTAGTGGAGACGAAGTTAAACTTTGGTTCAGACCAGTGGACAGTTGGGGTTCAAACCTCTTGCCACATGCATTAGAAATCACAGAGCTTCTTTGCATGCAGTAAATTTTGTTCTTGCTTCCCTCCTCACACCTTGCTCTCCAGGCAGAAGACAGACATGCTTTGAGTATTCATGATAAGAATGGCCAGCTGCTGTTTTCACTAGTTCTCCTGTAGGTCAGTAAATTTTCTGATAACCAATGGTTGCTTGCACAGCTGAAGAACACAAAAGTTCTCTACATTTATTGTGTTTGCAGTATGAAGCTTGTACAGTTTTAGTCTCAGTTTAAGAATCTTTATGGTAGCGAGATTGCATAACACAAGGACACAAAAACAAAACCTGTACTAGAAATAGAGGGAAAACAATCATTAGTCCATTTCTCCTGATTTTTTGTTGCGTAGATTACAACCCAGTAGATAGATTTCTATTAGCTACTTGATGAAAAACAACAGAATGTTATTTAATAGATCTGACATAAAATTTGAGAAAATAATGCGGTCTAAAAGTTGAGAAAGAGATGTATTAACTTTATAATTGTTCTTTCACATTTTTCAGATGTCAGATGATTCTTACAGAATGCAAAGTCAACCTTTAGGAATTTGCCTGATAATAGATTGCATTGGCAATGACACTGGTAAGTCTCAGGAATTTGAAGTCCCTTAACTTGTTAATCTTGGATAATTAGAACAGTTTAGTATAAATAATATAATGTACATTTACTGGCCAGGTTAGGGTAGTGATGTCCAAGTCATTTAATCTACCAATTCTAATAAGACTTCTAAAGCAAAGAGTTGGGAAGGGCCAACATCAGGTTAAAGCCAACTGTCCTAATTATTGGAGACATCATTTGATTTTTTTGGTGCAGAATCTCTGAATGAAAGAACTTGGAAGAGGATAGACTGAATTTTGGGAGGGACAAAAAGGATATTCAGCAACCAACAGAAAAATTAGGCTTACAGCAGTCATACAGTCATACAGCAGCTTACTGGCAGAGATGGTAGTGTTTCCCACCAGTTAGCAAAACCAAACCTGTTGTGGATTTGAAGTGCAATCATATTGGACACCAGAGATTTTGAATAGCCATGAGGTCCTTTATTAATAACGCACCTGGGCTTCTGTCATATCTTGCATAGTTTAGCTAAAGTGTCAGCCCAGTGAAACTGAAAGTGTTACCACAGCTGTCAGTGTAGTCACTGCCACGGTTGAAATGTGGGGGTTTCTCGATTGCCTTTGTAGAATCCTAGAATTAGATCTTTGCACAGTCAAAAATACCCCTCAGTCTCTAATTGCTGTAACACATGAGGCTAAAGATAAAAATGAAGACAGTATTTGCAGTCAGTTCTGTAATAGTCTGGGAGATGTGGGGGAAGGAGTGGCATTCTGGGCATGTCTTTTGGTTTTCTCAAATACAATGGTCCAGCAGATGAACTAACTTTGAATCAGTGATGTTGTTGAAGGGCAGTGGTAGTGGAGCTCACACACAGAAAGTCTGTATCTCAGATGTTTAAAGTCACCAGAGCATAGTCATATTTAACATGATAGAAGGCAAAACTCACACTGAAATACACAATGGTGTTAGTGAGATTTGGAGGAGGCATATGGCATTGCTTAAAGGAGTTTGCTAGAAAGGGCAGAATAGTTGTGCCACACTATTCTGGAGTCTGAAGAAAAATAAGAGGGCAAGGAATACATTAGAAATTGTATCTGTGGCATCCATTAGAATCTGTAGTTGTCCCAAGATTTAATCTCAGTCAGGCGAACCAGTAATAGATACTGTAGGATCAAGAATTACAACATTCTATTCTATTCTATAATGCCCAGTGTAAACACCATGAATTTATTGAATGCTGACAAAATTCAAACTGAAATGCATTTTGCTGTTTTGTAAATAGCTGCTTTTGACTTTTCCATTTGGATATCAGTTTTAATCTTTACATTATAAACAACGAGGGGAGAAAAGGCTAGTGTTTTATGTAGAATGGAGATGCTAAAAAGTCCGTGGAGGTTTGCTGGGAGATGGCTAGCGTTGAAGAAATAGGTAGTTTCTGATCTCAGGCTGTGGTGTGTCTTGCCTTAAAGTATCCAAGACTTACTATGTACAATTTCTGATTAATTGTTAACCAAGGTGTCAGCTCTAAGTTTTTGAGTTGGTTTTTTAAACTATGACAGTTAGTGTGTGTGGGGACTATGGTGACGCCAGGTTTTGTATTTGTGCATTTATGTGCATGTGCCAGTGAGATCAGGACATTACAGGAAAAGCATTCTCACTGCTGTAATTCTCATTTTGTACATGTATTGCTACCCCCTGACTGAGGGAGGGCTTCATCAAGTGTGTAACTGCTAGACCACAGTGATACTGAATTTTGAGAGCATGCTTTATTGCATAAAATAAGGGAGTTTTATATTTCTATTCTCAAATTAGAAATGTCTGGACAGTTTTTGAATTATTTTACAAAATTTAATAAAACCAGCAGAACTGGAATGCAACTATAGTTCTTTTTTATCACCTCACTATAGTGTAGAGTTTCTATTTACCCTTTCTTTTGCTGAGGAAAGTTATGAGTTCTGTTTCCTGCGTTCACTGCGGGCTTTTTGGGGAGAACAGTGTGGTAGCACAGCTGCTTTGCTGCCATTACCTCTGAAATAGCCCCTGCTAATTAGGACTTGTTAAATTTTTGAAGTCAAACACAGCTACGTGTAAGCTTCCTATGTGTGTAAGGGATTTTACATAAATATGGCACTTGATAATTCTTTTCCTGACAGAAGCTGTGCATGGGCAGTGTATATGTGATTTACACTAAAGCCACAATGCTACTGCTGGAAGTCACAGTAGTAGCTTGTGGTTCTCTGAACATGTAATACCCATGGTTTTAACCATCATGTGTCTGGTTTCAGTCCCACATTAAGAAACATCCAAAGTAGTTATTCAGATCTTAACACATTTTCCTGAAACACAGGTTAACACAGTAAGAGTTAAGTCTTAGGGTTTGGCTACCTACAGTTTTAATTTCTAGTTTGATTGAAAGCATTCATTATTAAGCTTTATTTTTTGCCTGAAAATGCCATTCTGTCCCAGTTAAGACTCCAGTTCTTCACCTGGAGCTTATCACTTAAAATTTTAGGTAGAAGAAGGGACTGCAGCAGGTTCATTTTTGACTGATGAAAGAGAACCTCTGTGTTTCTTATGCAGTTCTGTGTATCTATAATAACCACTCAGAGTAATTCTGACAAACTAAAAGGTGAAACAGACTTCCTATGCTGTCCAGATCACTCTTTATCATTTCAAGTGTGTTTCTTCTTGCCTTGTATTTTAAGTCTTAGGAACCTGGAGTACTGTCTCCAAAGGAAAGCATGTGTCTGTGAATTCAAAACAGATAACAGTGTCTCTGCTGTCATGAAACATGTAACTCATAGGAAAGAAAACATGCATATAGCACTATAAGTATGTAATGTACTGTGATCAACACCAAATACTCCTGATTTTTTAATTATTGTGATAAAATAAACTACTTAGTTTCAATAGCAAAACACCGTAAGTACTGCAATTCAGTATAGTGAGATTGAGCCTTGGTGTACCTTGGTTTAATTACATCTTGCTTCTTTCAGATGTGTTGGAAGAGACCTTCAGAAGCTTAGGCTACGATGTTCATTGTCACAGATACTTAAATATGAACTCCATGAATCAAACATTGCTTGAAGTTGCAAGGTGGCAGAAGCACAGAAATTGTGACAGCTTCGTTTGCGTATTGGTCAGCCGTGGAAATTCTCAGAGCATCTTCTGTACAGACCCCACCTTTTCTGGATTCCCTTTGGAACAAATAAAGAAATACTTTACAGCAGACTCATGTCCTGGACTCCTAGGAAAACCAAAGCTTTTTTTTATTCAGAGCTATGTTGTGCCAGAAAATGAGCAAGAATGTACCAGTCTGTTGGAAGTTGATGGGAAGGGTGAGAATATCAGTGCTAAAGTCTCTATCCCCCACGCAGCAGACATCTTTTGGAGTCATTGCAAGGTAGATGTGTCTACATTAGAACAATCCCCAGCTTCATCCTCCTATTATCTGCATTGTCTGGCTGAACTACTCCGTAATCCATATAAAAGGTAAACTAAAATAAGAGGAAAGAAATAACCCTTTTTCTATTATAGTTTATTGTCATGGAGAATAAGAAACCTTAAATTTCATCCCATCTGGTCCTAAAATGTATTTTCTTGCAGTGTCATAGTCTAAAAGACAAGTATCCTCACACAATTGCATGGAAAGGTAGCCTCAACTAGGAGTGAAGTTTCTGATTTTTGAAGAGTAAAATTAAAGTGTGTTATGGCATTGGGGTTTGTAGAGTGACAAGGGAAGAACCTGCCCTGAATAATGTATGTTAGTGCTTTAGACAGGATTGGAAATCCTGCTTCTCCCAGATAAAGAGGCTGCTGTTACATTGAGGATTGCCATGTACCATTAAGTAAAGCTGTGCTTGCAAGTATAAATGGTTAAGTGCTTAAGTTCAGGACAAAGGCAGTAGAGAGGGAAGGATTTTCTACGTTCTACTTTCTCTAAATTTAATTGCTCACAGAGGCAATTGATTGCCAATATGTAATCTTGAACTTAAACTGATAGAAAACTTGTCTATTTAAAGAGATCAAAAGAAATTGCGCAAAAATCAGATACATTTGGATATATAACTTACCGATAAAGGTTTTATTTATACAGCTGATCTACAAGGGAACTGTTATTCAAGGTAGTTGCAGTGCTAACATTTAGTACCTTTTTTAAAAACCCTAAAGACTTTAATGAAATCACAGATCATCGTGTCAGTGTAATTTATATCACAACAAAGATTTAGGTCATAAGTGTTTGTCTCAAAATGCGTGTACAGCCTTGTGTTTTAGAGGTCTTGCCTCTGCAGTAAGACTGAAATTGCCAACTTTCTACATGCTGTGTTTGAAGTTGTCTTCTCTCTTGTGAATTCTTAAATGGTGTCTTCCTTCATTCTCTAATGGAACACTTTTGCTTTTGTTGCTGCAGGAAACTCTGTCTATTGGCTATCCATATGGAACTGAACAAAAAAGTTTATGATTGGAATACGACCACTGACCCAAGCCAACAATACTCACTGCTACTCCAGCACACACTGAGGAAGAAACTTTTTTTTCTCACTTAACTGCTATTAGAAAGTACATATCTGAAACAGTTAACAATGGAAACATTTGCAGTGATGCACAGTTTAATGCATACTTTTACTTTATGCATTGTTATTTCATGTGTATCTAAAGTGCCTGTTGCTTCCAAACACAGGAATTTTACAAGCATTTTAGTGTGCTAGGACACTAGATTTTATATTTTAATATAGTAGTCTCTGACTCCATTCTCATTGGATGAGAATGGTAGCTGTTGTATAGCAGTGCAGCATATCTTGCTATTGAGTACAACAGGTAAACAGAGTGGAAAGGTATATAAACTGTATAGCTGATGGGTGTTCCAAGAAAAAACAGAAGTGCTTTTATTATTTTGGTGGTGGTTTTTAACATACCTCATAGCATTTAAACAAATACAAGCCAGCCCAAACCACTGAAACACACTGAATTACTTTCCCTCTCACCTAATAGTGGCATATGTCTCAGAAAAGCATTCATACCCAGTAATACCAGATCTTTGCTGACTTGCAAATGTTCTGACTTGCATGCCTCTGTAGATTGGCAAAACAGAAGGGAGAGACATATGATCTTCTCAATAATCTGGATTCCATCTGATTGCTCCATTAAAGATTGCATCATTAGCACAGTCCACAGCACACAGGGATTCTATATTAACAAATGAGACAATCTGCTGTGCTTTGGGCCAAGTATTTTCTGTTGATGCAAAAATGAGTCTACTTGTGACAGGACATTACAGTAATCTGCCATACAGTTAAAAATATGTGAGATTTTGGCAGATGTCTTGTGGAAGCTGAAACATGGTTCACACTTGTTGTACCAGGCATAGTTGTAAAAAGATATTTTAAAGTATTTGAATGTAAATGTATGTAGCAGCCATGAGCCTTTAAGACTGAAACACCCCACCCTCACTCCTTTTGCTTATGAAAAAGAATATGCCTCTATTAATTAATTTTTTCCCAAGTGCTCTTGTGAAAAAATAAAAGGGAAAATTGTCCTAATTACAAAATTTTTTCTCCAATATAGCAGTTGCCTAACATGAAAAGTGCAGCTAACTTACTTGTATAACAATATAACCTGGATGGCTTGCATTGAAGTTTATTGTCACCAAACTTAGTGACAATAAAGTAGGCCACTTGTAAATGTTTTATTTTTACTCCTAATATAGTCTCCTATAAAAATCAAAAACAATCAAAGCCCTGGTGTGCCTTGCTTGGTTTCTGGTTAAGTTTTTAATGGAAAAAGAGGAGGATACAAAATGACAGATAGGGAATCTTAGAAGTTGCTTCTGGTGGCTGGAAAATGAACTAAATGGTGAAACAAATGTTTACTGTGGTTGCAGAAGTAAGATATCATTTCAAGTTACATATATCTAAGTAATGTTAATTTATGTGATCTTCACAGATTAACTTCACTTTCCCATTTCCCTTACTAGCTTTTGCATTTGACAAGCACTTCTGCTACCCTATAGACAACCAAAAGCAGGGAGAATGGAACCAAGAGGAGGCAGATGAGGAAAAGAAATGTGGAAATTTTAAGCAGGAACAAGAAGGGCAATGGTAGGGAGCATCAAGAGAAGAACAAGTAGGAGAGAGACAATTTGGAGGAGAAATACCAATATTGGAAGGAGAAGAAAACAGGAAAAAGGAAGTGAGAATTATAGTGGCTATCCTTACAGACTCTAATGATGTGGTGAGTTGGTTGATGTTTTGTGGATTGATTGGTTGGGGGGTTTTGAGTGATGCTAAATGCAACTATTTAATTAAAATATTAGCAGTAGAATATATTCTGCTTCTGCAGTTTTGTGACACGTTTGGTTTGAGGGTTAAGGAGTATATACGTTCTTTGCCTTACTGCAAGACACAGTAAGTAAAGTCCGTGTTCCTTTCATTAAGAAATGATGCAGAAATACTGTTTTGAAAACCAGAGGCTCATGTAATTAACCCTCTAAGTGGAAAAGGAAAGGACTCTTGTTGTGTATGGCTGCTTGTTGGAAGTGGTTATAACCCTCTAGAATGTTGGGGACAGGCATGTATTGTGCAGCATTCATAGGTGTCTGTGATTTTTCACTCTGATCCTCAGTAGATTCTTAAACCATAGGCATACACAATCTATAATCATACATCTAAGCAGTATTTATTGCCTTGACACCTCTTACAAGAGTGGTATTCAGGTAGGCTGATTCCCTGTATCTGCTGCTTCAGGAGTATTTATCCAGGACTTTTTTGATGGCAGTTGTCTGTCACTTCTCCCATAGCTTACAGAATCATAGACTCACAGTATGTGCTGAATTAGAAAGGATCCATCAGGATCATCGAATCCAACTCCTGGCCCTGCCCAGGACACCCCAAAAATCCCACCGTGTGCCTGAGAGTGTTTTCCAAAAGCTTCTTGAGCTCTGTCAGGTACTGTGACCACTTCCCAGGGGAGCCTGTTCCAGTGCCCAGCCACCCTCTCTGGGTGAAGAACCTCTTCCTAAAATCTAACCTAACCCTCCCCTGACAGTTTCATTCCTCAAGTCCTGTCAGGGGTCACCAAAGGTAAGAAGCTGATACCTGTGCCTCTCTGCTTCCCCTCGTGAGGATGCTGAAGATTGCAATGAGGTCTCCCCTCAGTCTCCTCTTCTCTAGGATGAACAAACCAAGTGACCTCAGCCCCTCCTCAAGGCCTCCCCTCCAAAACCCTTCCCAGGTTTCTTGTCCCTCCATACACACAGTGGGGACTGTCTCTTCTTGCTGTAGCACACTCATAAAATTTGAGTCTAGAGATGGATACAGGGTATGGACTGCATCCAATTGTCCCTGTATTGTGGACAGTGAAGTGATTTAAGATTAAATGGTCCTTTAGCCAAAAGAAAAGCAGGAAGAGAATTTTGGACCCATCATGAGTTTAGGGTGTTAGCACAGGAACATAGAGAGTGTCATTCTGATGAAATTTCATGGTGTTGGACTGCCAAAATGTCTAGTTTTCAGAACCTACTATTGAAGGAAATAAAACAAGTTACACTGCTTGTGCATTGACAGAGCTTGAAATAAAGCTGTCAGAGTCACTGCTCTGGCACTTTAAATTATAGTTTTGGTTTCTGATAACTGGGAAAAAAAATTCTTGTAGTTCTGTATGTGATCTATATATGGGAGAGGGAAAAAAGAATTGGCAGAATATGGGAGATGCCTTTAAGTGGCTGGGAAGGTGTACTCGTGAGGCAAGAGATTCATTTCATACCAGACTTACGTTGCATGGTTTTTCTCAGCTACCTACGCTCATGTGGCTGAGCCATAAATTGAGTTTACTTTGCACTGCTACATATTTGTGTATTACAGTGGTTGCTAACTCATTATCCAAAAAAGAAGTTATGTTCAAGGGGAAGTTACTGTGCTAGCACTTGTAGATGGAGCATGTTGTATGGCTGATCTCCCCTTTCAACTCTGCATAAGGAGTAACAGGGTCCTGCTACAGATACATGAGTCAGAGAAGCTTTTTATGGGAGTTTCTGAGAATTCTTTTCTGATTTCCAGAGTTCTAAGTTTCTGACATGCAGAATGGTATTGCTGAGCAGAGGCTGCCATCCGTGTGGATGATTTACGTTCCATTTAAATTAAATCTCCTGTACTGAATTACTTGACAACTTTTCTGTGGCTGTTTTAAAGAATGTCTATATTTCAGCTTCTGTATTAGAAACAATAAGACACTTTAATTAGATACAAATGCTGGGTTTCAAGCTGATATTCTGAATAAAATTTCTGTATTGATTGTCCCTGTCTCCCTCTACACCATAGAATAACACTGAAATTCTTGGCTTGTTATCCTGCAGACCTCTCTAACTTGTTCAAATTGGCTGTGAAGTTTACAGCTCTATAAAAACGAGCTGGCTTAATAAAGGACGGCAAGCCTTATAGTTTCAGGAGGTAACGCGGCTGCTCTTTGTGTATTGGACAACAACTTTTGGCACGAGCAAGGAGACTCTTCCCGTCCCATCTCCGGGCATACAGGTGACCCTGGAGATGCAGAAGGCACTGAGCAGAGTCTGCTCATCTTCCTTCTCCTCTCTTTATTTCAGTGGACACACAGACCCACAGATAAATGGTATTGCAGCCCTTTCCCACAAACACTGCTCTTCAGGCTTCCTTCCAGTGGGGAAACAAAAATTAAAATAATGTGCCTAAAATGTTTGAGGCCTTTTTGCGATGTAGTTTGCTTTAAAATGGCTTGGCAGCAAAAGCGAGGCGATTTACGGGCCACGTCTTACACTTGGTACCCGAGGCTCTGCCCGAAGTCTTTTCCCGGAGCCCCGGCAGCGCTCCCCGCACCCGCGGGCCCTGCGGCCGAGGGCGGGCGGG